GTCACTATCTGGTAGGACTTCTTGGTGCTCGCCGGGTCTGAGGGCAAAGCCTTGGGATGGCTGTCATGGGCAGGCTGGTCTGCATCTCTGAGCAGCTGCACCTATGCAGAAGCCCATCTCCTTGTGTCTGATTCAGATCCATACATACATAGCATACCTGTACCCGTAGAAACTGCAAAAGTAAAAGATTTGGGCCACATTACAAGTAAAGGATGGTTGTGGCATTGACCTTGCTTGAAATAAGCCTATTAACCTATTTGCATTGTCTTCAAATTGAAAAGCTCCGTGTATGATATCATTACCTAGCTAGCTACACCTTTTCTGATCAACTGAGAAGAGTACTCTTATCATTCCTCAAATAGTCACTGTCGTCTTTGAGAATTAGGAGCCTCACTTTCTGTGTTTCGACAGAGAGTACTGACCTCATTAGTGGATGCATCATGGAAATCAAGATGATCCATGCTACATTTGAATTTAATGTAAAACTTGCTCCATAATGAACTAGCATCATTTTTCCATCTTTGTTCTATAAAAATACAAGGGTAAGTAAAAAAACATTGATATAAAATCACAGAACTCTTTTTTAAGACAAAAACGGCCACCTGTGATGCTGTTGTTTCTCCATATATCCTCCCTCTGGGTCTGTGCACTTCCAAAGGCGATGCATCCATCTCTGGAACCTTTCTGCCCTGAGGAATTCTGCATGCTTGGATTTCCACCATGCCAGGGGACTAGACTGTGCTCCTTTGTACTGGTGTTTGCCTGTGGGAAGTACAGAAACTAGAAAGACAAGGTCGGGCTAGAGGGCGGATGAGGTGAGGTTTCCCTATGAAAGCCTCAGAGAACAGCCCTTCCTACCCTGAAAGAATGAGCAGGTTTATTGCCACAGTAGGAAAACCCCTTCCTCAGTGAAACTTTCCTGGTCTCTTTTCTCACCAGCGCAGTTTTCTTAAAACTGTCTGATTCCCTGCCATGTCCATCCTGTGCCCTTTGAGAAAATCTATCACGCTTATCCTTTGGGAATGCAAGAAACGAGCTATGATGGTCCGAACTGAATTCTCTGCCTTGAATTTAACTGACCATCAGATCCCCTCAGAAGCCGGCACTTTGATTGGACTTTTGGGGAGGTTTGTTTTTGTAAGAAGCCATCCTATTTCCGCCAAGATAAGTGTACCGCTGAGAGAACTTGTGTGCAGCCGTCCACCGAGCACAGAGACATTTGTAAGCACGTTCTGTTTTGCGGGAACCTGTGCCTAGGTCAAGTAGCATGCAGAGATGAAAGACACCCAACTCCTGGAGCTATGAGCTATCGACTCTAACCTTGGCAGCCCAGTCGATTCCACCTCATAGGACAGAGTAGAACCGTCACGTCCCAAGGCTGTGATCTTTAGGGAGGCAGGCTGCCACACCGTTCTCCTGCATGGCCGTGGGTAGACCCGAACCGCCAAGCCTTGGTCCAGCAGCCGAGCGATTTTACCACTGTGCCATCAGGGCTCCTTCTTCCTCTTTATCAGGGGTGAGAAAAAGCACGTGCCCTACTTCCTGTGAGGTCTAAAGCACATGATGGCCTCATCGTTGTACTGTCGGCCCCTGTGCCACATCTCGGAGAGCTGCGTTCTGGTGACTTGCTCTTTCCTGCCACCACGATTCAAATGGTAGGATATATTAGAAATACAATCGAATGACTTTTGTCACTAAATAATTGGCTTTTTTGGGGGGTTATGATTGGCATTTTTGCTTGAGGGAAACTGTTAAAACCCCGAGGAGTCCTTTCGCATTTATTTCTGTTACTCCCATCAGGCTTCGGAAAATGATTTAAGCAACACAAACAGAAACCAGCAATCCGTTTCTTTAGGACGGGTTTCCTGTTCTCATTTAGGGTTACATAGATTGTGACACTGCATTGGCCCTCATTTGAACTTTAGTAAAACTTCAGAAACTATTTTCGAACTGTTTAAAAATATCAGCCAAGTTCTGAGGTTCTCACAGGGCTTAATAGAAAACGTCGGTGAAGTAGTGTGCTGTTTTTGTCTTTTTAAAATGAGGTTTGTAAAGGAAACCGACGGCTACAAGTAGAACAGCATTATCTTTGGGATTGTCTTCTACAGCAGTTTGCTTCCCTAGCAGCTGCACATTTAGAATTAGAAATAAAAAGAAAAAATGTAATATATGAAGACGGATGACAGTCTTTTATCCCTAGTTCATTAGCTTTGCTCAAAATTGCCTTGAAACACATGTATGTACACGTCAAAGCTGACACATTCACTTTAAAGTTATAAAAATACACTAGTCAGTTCTACAGCTTTCACAGTAGGTACGTTCTCCACATTCAGGATTTATCCAAAGTTGTTCCATTGAATACGTGGTGACAGTAATGTAGCAGGGTTTGTGTGGGTTGGTTGTTGTGAACATTGAGAAAGTACTGTCCTTGGGGGATTAAAATGCGGCTATGTAGTTTTGTAATTTTTGAGAATGTGTGCATACTTCTATTTGTAGCTTACTTTAAAACCTTTGCATTTGTGTCTGCCTCAAAATCAAAAGACCCTCGAAAGCTCCAGGTTGAAACCGAGGGTTCTAGAACATGGTTGTAGACCCGTCTGCAAGTTACAATTGGGTCTATTCTTAGAGTGGTGCCCAAAGGCAGTGGAACTACTGCATTGAGTTTACCTGGGGCCATTTATTAACAATGGAATCCCTGCACTGTAACAGTGAGGAATTACTAAACCTGAATGAAGGCTGGACATGATGGTGGGACTTGAGGAAAGTAAAAGGAAACAGAGGAAAGAACCAGGAGGCAAAGGACATTTATAGAGGTCTAAATATAGGCATGTACATATATATCTATGACTGTGTACTCATATCTATATGTTAAGAATTAAGGTTACAGATGGACATTGGGCCTCAACTCAAGTACTCCTTAACGCAAGAATACTTTGTTCTAACAATATGGCATTCTGCGATGCTCACCTTCCCGACACAATCCCTGAAGAAAAAATGGGTGCATGAGCAAATGTGGTGAAGCAAGCCGATAGTGCCCAGCTATCAAAAGATATAGCACCTGGGGTCTTAAAGGCTTGAAGATAAACAAGCGGCCATCTAGCTGAGAAGCAACAAAGCCCACATGGAAGAAGCACACAAGCCTGTGTGATGATGAGGTATCGATGGGATCAGGTATCAGGCATCTAAGACCCAGAACAAAACCATACTCAAGGTGAATGGGGAGGGGGGCATGGAGTGGAGACCCAGTGCCCATCTGTAGACCATTAGACATCCCCTCACAGCGGGGTCACAGGGAAGAGATGCGCCAGTCAGGGTGCAGTATAGCACCGATGAAACACACACATTTCCTTTAGTTCTTTGGTGCTTCCTTCCCCCCACTATCATGATCTCAATTCTGCCTTACAAATCAGATTAGACCAGAACATGCACACTGCTGCAGATAAGAGCCGGCAACACAGGGAATCCAGGATAGATAAACCCCTCAGGGCCAACAAGGAGAGTAGAGATCCCAGGAGGATTAAGAGAGGGTAGGGGAAGAAAGGGGGAATCGATCACAAGGATCAATCTAGAACACCCTCCCAGGGGGGTGAATAATGGAAAAGTGGGTGAGGGGTGACAGAGGACGACGTAAGATATGGAAATAATCATCTATGGCTTATCAAAGGTTCGTGAGGGTGGGCGGTGGGGGAGGGAAGGGAAAGAAATGGAGAGCTTATATCAGGGGCTCAAGTAGGAAGAGAATGCTTTGAAAATGATGGTGGCATATATGCAAATGTGCTTGACACACTGGAGGAATGTATGGATTGTGATAAGAAATGTAAGAGCCCCCCCAAAAAAAGTATTTAAAAAAAACGATAAAAACAATAGAATCATTGGCCCTGGACTGTGGCCCATCAGCGGCCCTTCTGTGGAGGCGGGACAGGGAATCTGCCTTTTAGACTAACTCTCCAGGGATCCTGTGCTGCCTAACACTGCCGACAACTACTGCTTTCCATGCCACAGGCTGGGTCTTGCAGCTAGCTTTATTCTCTAAAATGCAGCCAAGTGTTTGGGTCCTCAAAAAAAGATGATGTCGGAGCATTGAGTTTACACAGCAGGGATGCGCCTCTGTTCACGCTGCAGCCCGGGCACCCAGCGACTTCCTGCAGGTGTATGAAGAACGCGCTTCGCTGTTTTCCGTGGGCAGACGGAGTCTGAGACCTGATTAACCAGTCAGGGAGGGGAGGCTGGTGTTTGATCCCTCGAAGATAGGGGCGAGCAGAACACCCCCACGTCTTGAAGTCTGTGCTCCGTCCGCTGTGGCAGTCCTGTTCAGTTGCCCCCTGTCTGTGAGGAACAAAATCGTCCTCTTGTTTGAGTCAGAAGTAACGGAACAAGGCGGGTTCTTCGAGTCTGTGGATGCACTGCAGGGCTCTGTGTACTCAGGAAATAATTCGATCTTTATTTTCAATGACGCTTTTTTGAAATCTAGCATTTCCTTCCATTAAGAATATAGACAATAAATGACAGAAGAATTAACTACTACGTGTAGTCTTATTACCAATAGAAATCACATTATCTGTTGGTCTAGATACCTCAAAGGATTGTTTATGTTCATGAATACTTGAGACCATAAAAGATGTTAAACTCGTGCTAAATCTTGCATGGTACTGTTACATTACCACAGTGCTCAGTATCGTAAACAGTACAAGATTGTACAAGTTATATATGTACACATATTTATGAGTCCAGTGTTGTACAAGTACTACAGGCACACACACATATTTACTGGTAGTGTGTGTGTGTGTGTGTACATATACACATGCTACTGATAATTGTATTTTTCAGCACAATTGACTTCTGTTGAAATCATCTACTAATATTATTCTGAGAAGTGACCCATAGGTCTTTGACTATTTAGCTTAAAGGGCCCAGGGCACCTCTGCAACAGTCCTCTGAAGTGAATGGCCTTCTCTAGTCAACACCGGCATTTCATCGTGGGCTTGTTTGTTTTGCTCTAGCGGACTCCACTGGAACCCACTCTCTGTACACAACCTACAAAGACTATGAAATTATGTTCCACGTTTCCACCATGCTGCCCTACACGCCTAACAACAAGCAACAGGTAAGCGATGCTTGCACCCGCCGTGTTCTCGCCCTTGGCTTCCTGTCCCTGGCCCACCACCCCACCCCACCCAGTAACCTAAGTGGCAAGTCTGTAAAATCTGAAACCAGAATTTAAAGCTGCACCTGCCACAGCAGCGGGAAGCTTTGTCCTCTGCGGAAGTGAGGAATAGCAAATGACCCGAAAACAAATGAACAGACACAATTCTAGGCTAACAGCCAGCTGG